TATATATATATATATATATATATATATATATATATATATATATAAATAAACATATATAAGTATATATATAAACACGAACCTTTTCTTACGCGTAGATGCAGCCACACCAAAATAGAAGTCAGGACCTCACCTATTTTTCTTGTTGTTGCATCCAGCATGTGCATGGACAGAAGGAGGGTGTTTTCAATTCCACCTTTTCGCTCTGCGACGGGACAGAAAAAAAGGGAAAACTGTATTTTTAGTAGAAAATAGTAAGCACATCACACATTGATTGATAAAACCAACAGGTTATTACTTAAAAAAATAAATAAATTACATATTATTTTTTCTAAAACTAAATAAAGCATTCAGTTAAGAACAACTGCTTTGTTGTGTCTTTTTTTGACATAAAGTTACACTGAAGAGAGAAACTGTTTTCACTTCACCACTTTTGCTCTTGTCAAGGGCGGACGCTTTTCCTTTCCTCTCCTCTCCCTTCTCCGCTTTGCTTTTGCTCTTTCCTGTCTGTGAAACTGCTTCATAGCTTTGCTCTACATATCTTCCGAACCGTGATTTTTGCTTTGAATCTGGTCAGCTGGTCTCAAAGCAATTGATAAAATGTTTTTTTTCTTCTTCTTTTTTTTGTTTAGGATATGTGAGGACCAGCAAAAACACAAGGCAGACATAAATCAGTAAAGTTCTGCCTGTTCCCAAATCAAATGCTCTTAATCTGAATTCGGCTCCCCGGCTGGTTTTGACAGGCCACCTCATTTCAATACACCTGGAGGCCCTGTAAATTTGATGCTCTGACCCCTCCTCTTCTACCGAGGAAGTCTGCAGACCTATCAGAGGAACCCAGCTGAATAAACACTGTGCCATCATTTCAGGACTCTTGGATTCTCTTTGGCTCTGTCCTAGGTCAACCTCAGCATCCCTCAAGAGTGTTTACAGATCTCACCAGAGGGAACTGACTGATTATACCCTTCTTATCAGAACCCCTACAGTGCATCTGAAGTGTCCTTGGACACACTCACCACTCTTGTCATCTCCCCTCCCCTGTGGAATGTCTGCATCACTATGTGCAGGGTGTTTTTTTCAATCTCGGGCTTTCTCTCCTCAGCCAAGAAGTGAGAGTTTGATAGGATTTTGTTTGCCTCCAAATCCTATACATGTGTCACTTTCATTACTTTTTGTCTGTCTGGACAGGTCTCACTTGTAAATTTCAATGCAAGGGCGGTGAGCAGCAAGAGACAACACACAGAGGCACTGCAGCGTTTAGATAAAATCACTGTTCATAAAGTTCTTTCTGGAGAGATCCGTAAACACTCAGGAGATGTCGAGGATGACCAGAGACGAATCCAGAGTCCTGAAATGATGACAGAATGTTTATTCAGCTGGGCTCCTCTGAAAAGTCCATGGAAGTCCTCAGTAGTAAGGAAGAGAGGGGCTGAGCATCAGGTTTACAAAACTTTCCAGGCAGGTTGTGATAAGATGGCCTGTCAAGGCCAGTCAGGGAGCCGAATTCAGATAAACACGATTGTTTTGGAGACAGACAGAACTTTAATGACATCTACCTTGAGTCAGTGTCAGTCCACTCAGATTCAAAACGTCCACATTAAATGACCATACAAATGGAATGTGCCTGAGAATAATCCCCAAGATCTGATCCATTCTGCCATAAGTCTGGGTGCTCGAGGCACGAACCAAGCCATCATATAAGGCAGGCAGTCTGACCAGATTCAGATTTGCTGCCGACGACTTCCTTGTTTGTTGATAGACCAGGAACCAGCCAAATCCAAAAAGCAAGAACCAGTTATCAATCCAATTATAAATGCGTCCTTAAAATCCACAGATGACAGCAGAGATAGACACGTCATCAAGTCTTCAAAGTCAATGAGATATCCAGCTGTGTGCGTGCCAACAGGACAAATCGGTTCACCTAAAGCCTGTCTTCTCTTCGAAGAAATGTTATCAATTGTGTTGAGGGACCAACTGACCAAATCCAAGTCCATAGTTATGATTCGGAAAATTTGAAGAAGAGAGGCTCTAAAGCAGTGTCACAGACAGGACAGAGCAAAAGCAAAGCGGAGAGGGAGAGGCGAAGACATCTGCCCTTGAGAAGAGCAAGTGTTAAATGAGTCTTCGAGACTCAATGTGATTTATCTGTGTAAATAAAGATTGAATGAATGAATATTTTCTAAAGATCAAAGTTTCTTTTCAGAGATGAATCATGCTGTTAAGTCGATTTGGTGCAGTTTTATCATGTGTGACAGGTTATAATTATTTAAATGAAGCAAAGATTAGCCCTTAATGTAAAACTGGGAGTCTATTTAACACGTTAAAGCCAAGAAACAGCCGTAGAGCAGGATGCACAGCTCAAAGCTTTGTTACCCTGCATGTAAACACTGTGTGTGTGTGTGTGCGTGCGCGCGCGTGCACGTGTGTGTGTGTGTGTGTGTGTGTGTGTGAGAGAGTGTGTGACAGTCATATGAATTGTGCCAACCTCTGCCACGCTGTGATTTGGCTCTGCTCCACATCAAGCCCTTAATTCAAACTCCACCTGCTGCAGCTGTTTAAAACGCACTCTCCTGCTCTCTTGTCGTCCTACAGTGTCAATCAGAGCAGATTATTTGTGAAACCCTGACACAGTGTGGCATGAGCACATCTGCCTGTCTGGAAGTGGTAAATGTCAGTCAGTGGACGAAGAAAAATTATGAATTCCTTTATGAGAGATAGTAATCCAGTCTGACGAGCAGTTGTTTGTCCAACATGTGGAGGAACTGTCTGTGTTTTGTGTGTGTCCCGCAGAAGATGACGTGGTGTCCATGGCTGACTCCACCATCACTGTGGATGACATCGAAGGGGAGCTCTTTAAGATTGAAAGGATCAGGGATATCCTGGTCAGAAGAGAGTCAGAGCTGAGATACATGTGAGTGACTAAAGAATTTATTTGTGTGCCACAAAATTAAAGGTGACTAGAAGAAATCTTACCTTTTACTCTCAAGTCATCAGCAGTAGTGGAAGCTGAGTTCAAATGTTTTATAATGATGGTCATTAAGGTGAACTGACATCACTTATGTCAATTATTCCCTGACACGGAGAGGCTAAATGCAGGTGATAACGGGCAAATTTGCCCTTTACGGGTGTTTAGCCCCCAGTGCTGACAACACCTCTTGGCTTGAACAACGCAATAGCCATTGGCATCAGAAGCATTTGTAACGTGCGGGGGACACACTGCTGGGAGTGGGGGTCTGGGGGTCCTCCCCCAGAAAATTTTGAATAAAGTAGATGCCATTTCCTGCATTCTGGTGTATTTGAACAGGTTTGTAAACATTACCTACACAAGTAAACACTTGATCCAATAACTATTTTAGAGAGCATGGCACAATAAGTAGTAGCGCTAAGCTAGAGGTGCGCAATACAAATGCGCTAGCTAAAATGTAGCTACAGATGTAGTGCTCCGCTTTACATTGCACAACCTAATAAACTCTTTTTGTAAAAAGAATCAGTTCACAAAGACTAAACGTATGCAACCAGAAGTTGCAACATAGCTATATCTACATTTAAAAACACACAAAACAAAGCACAGCTAGCTTTAAAAGTCAAAATTTCTTTATTGTCATTCGCACCACATGTGGTACATGTGGTGGAATGAAATTGTGTACAAACCGGATTCCAAAAAAGTTGGGACACTAAACAAATTGTGAATAAAAACTGAATGCAATGATGGGGAGATGGCAAATATCCATATTTTATTCGTAATATAACATAGATGGCAGATCAAAAGTTTAATCTGAGTAAATGTAACATTTTAAAGGAAAAATATGTTGATTCAAACCACTTTGTGTGTTTCTTCTGTGTCATCATGTCTGTGCAGGATGGACGACATTCAGCTGTGTAAAGAAATTACTCGCCTGAAGAAGGAGCTTCAAAAACTGGTATCCATTCCAGGTAAGAGATCTTTGGATACCTCTGACTGAATAGATGATATCAACACTGTGAGAGCTGAGGTTCTAAAAAAAAAAAAAGTGTTGCGTGTAATCTATAAATAACAAAAATTTAACACCAAATGCTTAAAAATGATAATTGCTGGGTGTTGCGTTTGGTGAGTGTAGGACCCAAGTGCAGGCAAACAAGAGGAGCCAGTAACTTTTTTTTTTAAATTTTGATGAAAACAAAAGGCTGACGTGGCAACAAGTTATAATAAAACTCAAGAGTGGACAACAAAGGAAGGCACAAGGAGGACTGAGGCATCTGCAAGTATTCCAGGAAAAGAAGTCCATGGTGAGGCAGTGACAAGACATGATTTAAATAACCAACTGAGTGAGGGTGAAAGTGGGAACACCTGGGCTATGAACACTGACTGGGAACAGGTGAGGGTGGCAGGCTGATTGGAAAAACACTGAGGAGGTTTACTGAGGATGAATGGAAGATGGGACAAAAAACAAAACAAGGCCTAAACTAAAATGCTCAAAATAAAACAGTAACACTGAGACACAATAAATACAAGAAACAGTTGAACAGAAAAACACAACTGAACCCAAAGAACATCATCAAATGCATATGTAACGTGTTCATAAATGTGCTTTACTGGGCAGTTTTTTTAAATGTCTTGAATCGTATCCTGTTAGGACAAGGTGTGAAGAGATCATTTTTGTAATGCCACTATCCTCTCCTCATGGCTTTGTCCCTTTTTCTATCTAATAAAAAAGTATTCTGAAAAGAATAAGAAGGCCGCGCTATATAGCAGCAGCTTTGTGCACTCTGTCCATCCTTTGGACGACTGTACAGACATATTCTCATTGTATCTCGGTGCAATGATAATAAAGCTTATTCTGACTCTGATCAGGTCGTGATCTACAGCTTTCACTGAAGAGTTCGCAGCCGAGTGTGACGTGGTCGGAATGAGGATCAGTTTCTCAAAATCCGAGGCCATGGTCTAGAGCCGGAAAAGGGTAGAGTGCCCTCTCCGGGTCAGGGAGGAGATCCTGCCCCAAGTGGAGGAGTTTAAATATGAGGGAAAAATGGAGCGAGAGATCGATAGACAGATAGGTGCGGTGTCGGAAGTGAAGCGGACGCTGTACCGGTCTGTCGTGGTGAAGAGAGAGCTGAGTCAAAAGGCGAAGCTCTCAATTTACTGATCGATCTACGTGCCTACCCTCATCTATGGTCATGAGCCATGTATTGTGACTGAAAGAACGAGATCTCGGATACAAGCGGACAAAATTAGTTGTCTCCCCAGGGTGTCTGGGCTCTCCCTTAGAGATAGGGTGAGAAGCTCGAAGACCCAGGACACGCTGGAGGGACTATGTTTCTTGGCTGGCCTGGGAACGCCTCAGGATTCCCCTGGAGGAGCTGGCCAAAGTGGCTGGAGAGAGGGAAGTCTGGTCCTTCTTACTTAGGGCTGCTACCCCTGCAACCCGACCCTGGATAAGCGGAAGAAAATGGATGGATGGATAGATGAATGTACAACATATAGGACTTATACATACTTATATATAATTATAATTATCCAGTCACTTTTTTAGTAATACAGTAGTCCCTCGTTTATCATGAGGGTTTTCGTTCTCAGCTACCTCGCGATAAGTGGAAAACTGTGAAGTAGGAATTAGGGATGGGCCAATCCAATCCTGTATCGGTATCGGCCTCCGATACCAGCATAATTTACGTATCGGATTTTTCCAATCCAACCTGCAGAGATTCCGATCCGTTATGCATGTTGGCTTCAAACTATGGAATGGATTTCCTGAACGGAAGTGTGTCTCATGAACCCAGAGTAATAAGACCCGCCTCACATTCAGGAAATCCATTTCGTAGTTTGCAGCCAGCTACAACACGAGGACTAAGTTAGCAGCACTGTGGCTAACAGCTAACCGACTTTTCATCTAAACATGTCCGCTGTGTGGAAGTATTTTACACTAGAAACACCACAAAGCAAGACAGCAACGTGCAATGTCTGCAGAGCCATAGCACCACATTAAACCGCGGTAAAGTTAGTTTTACGTTGGACATTCGAGCTCCGTGGCTTCAGCGGTCTGCTCCTCTCACTGAACCCGTAGGGCAGACTGAACGCGGCTGACTGAAATCAGACTGCCTGCTGCGGATTGAACAAGAAAAAGACATCGCTGAAGCCAAGGAGCTCAAATGTTTACTGAGAAGTTGCTAAACTTCATTGTAATGACCAACCGCTATCAGTTGTAGAAAACGAAGGATTTCGCAGCTTGATACTTGCAGCCAAGATATAGTTTACCCTCCAGGAGATATTTATCAGCACAAATGGTAAATGGTAAATGGACTGTACTTATACAGCGCCTTTCTATCTTATTTCAAGATACTCAAAGCACTTCACACTACAATCTGTGTCCTCATTTACCCATTCATACAGCACTCTACTAGATCTCTACAAAGCTAATTGAAGAAATCATTCTAAAGAGACTAATCAGTGCTTTAGCTTCCATTCATACACTGATGGGACACACATCAGAGGCAACGAGAGGTTCAGTGTCTTGCCCAGGGACACTTCAGCATGTGACTGCTGGTGGATTCGAACCCCAACTTTCGCATTGGAGGACGACTGCTCTAACCACTCAGCCACAGCCGCCCCAATAGACAACAATAGACAATTTTAAAAAACGATTTGAAAATTACAATATATATACTGTATATATATATATATTTTTTTTCATTTAGCCTTTATTTATACAGGTTAGTCTCATTGAGCCACGAGAACTCATTTTCAAGAGAGACCTGTTTAGGGAGCACATGGTGGGGGTTAAGGGCCTTGCTCATGGGCCCAGAGTGGGGCGAATGAGGGTGGGGGCAAGTGTGGGTGTTTCACCTACCCCACCCACAATTTTGATGTTGTCGGGCCGGGGCGTGAACTGGCGATCTTCGGATCACAGGCCCACCTCCCTAACCTCTGCGCCACCACTCCCCAACATATATATATATATATATATAAAAGAAATTAATAACAGCTACATTATAAAGTGATGTGAAATACTAAGAAAATGTCTGTGTTGGTTTATGCATGAACTTAGCAGGTGTTTAAAGCCATTTAATTTTTTATTTTATTCATTCATTTAAAAGAGATGAAATAAATAAAACAAATTCATCAAGAACAAAACATTGAATGAAAAGAATGTAGAAAGAAGAAAATTCTTATATCCCCCCTTATTTAAAAAAATATAAAATAACTTAAACAAACAATCACTTAAATTAATCACTTTAATATTCACTTTAAAGCTAGGAATAAAAAAACAAATTTTGTGTTAGTAGAAATTAATTCTAACTTTGAAACTTATCCAACATTAATAAAACTTGCCTCAAGTTGCCTTTTTGGACATGCATGCATATATTTGTAAAAATTGTCCTTGAGAGTAGATTATTACAGCCTCATAAAATCAATGATGATGATTATATCGGAACGGGATCGGGATTGGCCGATATCCAGATTTAGGTATCGGGATCGGATCGGAATAAAAAAATAAATAAGTGGATCGTGCATCCCTAGTAGGAATAGTAGTACAAGTAGACAAGTACAAACCGGATTCCAAAAAAGTTGGAACAGTAAACAAATTGTGAATAAAAACTGAATGCAATGATGTGGAGATGGCAAATGTCAATATTTTATTCGTAATATGACATAGATGACAGATCAAAAGTTTAATCTGAGTAAATGTAAGATTTTAAAGGAAAAATATGTTAATTCAAAATTTCACAGTGTCAACAAATCCCCAAAAAGTTGGGACAAGTAGCAATAAGTGGCTGTAAAAAGGAAATTGAGCATATAACGAACAGCTGGAAGACCAATTAACACTAATTAGGTCAATTGACAACATGATTGGGTGTAAAAAGAGCTTCTCAGAGTGTCAGTGTCTCTCAGAAGCCAAGATGGTAAGAGGATCACCAATTCCACCACTGTTGCGCAGAAAGATAGTGCAGCAATAACAGAATGGTGTTACCCAGCGTAAAATAGCAAAGACTTTTAAGTTATCATCATCAACCGTGCATAACATCATCAAAAGATTCAGAGAATCTGGAACAATCACTGCGCATAAGGGTCAAGGCTGTAAAAATCTACTGGATGCTCTTACTCGGGCCCTTAAACGTCACTGCACCTCAAACAGGAATGCCACTGTCAAGGAAATAACAGAATGGGCTCAGGAAAACTTCCAGAAAGCATTGTCAGTGAACACAATCCACCGTGCCATCCACCGTTGCCAGCTGAAACTCTACAGTGCAAAGAGGAAGCCATTTCTAAGCAAGCTCCACAAGCTCAGATGTTTGCACTGGGCCAGGGGTCATTTAAAATGCAGTGTGGCAAAATGGAAGACTGTTCTGTGGTCAGATGAGTCACAATTTTGAAGTTCTTTATGGAACACTGAGACGCCATGTCATCCGGACCAGAGAGGACAAGGATAGCCCAAGTTGTTATCAACGCTCCGTTCAGAAGCCTGCAGACAAATGCTTGTGGCATGGGCAGCTTGCATGTCTGGAAAGGCACCATTAATGCAGAGAACTATGTTCAGGTTCTAGAACAACATATGCTCCCATCTAGACGTCATCTCTTTCAGGGAAGACCCTGCATTTTTCAACACGACCAGGCCAGACCACATTCTGCAGCAATCACAACATCATGGCTACGTAGGAGAAGGATCTGGGTACTGAAATGGCCAGCCTGCAGTCCAGATCTTTCACCTATAGAGAACATTTGGCGCATCATATAGAGGAAGGTGCAACAAAGAAGGTCCAAGACGAATGAACAGTTTGAGGCCTGTATTAGACATGAATGGGAGAGCATTCCTATTTCTAAACTTGAGAAACTAGTCTCCTCTGTCCCCAGACGTCTGTTGAGTGTTGTAAGAAGAAGGGGGGATGCCACACAGTGGTAAAAATGGACTTGTCCCAACTTTTTTGGGATTTGTTGATGCCATGAAATTTGGAAACAA